TAGTAGCAAACGTTAGGGTTTCATCTATGGGCAAATAGAGGACCACCAAACAAAAACATTATCAAAGTATAAAAAGACATTTTCATAGTAAAAATACTAGCAATGCATTTTTATATATAAAAAAAATAACTGACCAACAATTTATTTTATCTGTAGTTGAAGGCATACCATTGCCTTCAAAATATACTTAGTGGAAGCCATAAAATTGTATTCAAAATATTTAGATTTCGGTATTAAATAACCCATAGGGGTGTTGATATGCCGCTAAACAAAATCAACCAACCGATGAACAAGACAAAGAGAAAAACTCATCGGAATAATTAATATAAAAATATTCAGAGAAAATGCGTTCTGAAGCTCTACTGCGGCAGTGAGTAAAAGACTGAAGTCAAGATTCTTGATTCTCTTTTGGATTTTGTCAAGAATCTTCAAGATCAGTAATTCTCAACTGCCATTCCGCGGCTCACTAGTGTGCCACGCGAGCCTCTTAAGTGTGCCGCAAAATATTGTCACGACATCCATATATATATGCGTGTGTGTTTAATGGTACAGCGTTAGTATTTGAATGGAGTCAGTCGACCCAGTACTTTCTGAGCGACTGTTCGGTTTAACTCTCTTCCTACGGGCGGGAGGAACCCGAAGGAGGCTACGCCGAAGGGCGGAGTCTCCTTCGGGGAGGTAAAACCGGCCCTGAACCCGTTTATACGGGTTCAAATGGGCTATTTTTTTTGGCTCGGAAATGCCCACGTTAAAAAGGCCTTGTGCCACATGACACCCTCGTGGGGGGGGGGGGTGACTGAATATTGTTAGTATTTGAATAACTGAATAAGTATTAAACATTTTATCGCACATTAGCTAAAAAGGCTTTATCAGTTTTATTGCAATTTTCTACTTCTAAAACGAGAGGAGAAATCTTGGTGGTTCTGGGGGCCAAATACTTCATCAAGTATTACATCTACTTGGTATCATTGGAATACTTTGCATTTCTGTATTTCATCTACTGTTCTGACCAGCATTTTTCCTGCATAGTTCGAAGAGCACTTTGACCTTCCGCTTTTGCAGCCTTAAACTCCTTGCACAGTTTACTGTGTTGTTCTTTGGACAGACCTTTTTGCAACATCGAACTTCGCATCTGATTCTTTCTTGCAATCATCCCCTTGATATCAGCATCATTTTCATCAAACTAGTCTCAATATAGGAATTAGGCTTTCTCAACCCTAAAATTTCTCGCCGGAGTCAAATCCTTCAAATCAACAAATCAACCATTCGCCCTTGCATGGAGTATTGCTGCCATATATGGTCTGGAGCCCCTTCTAATTGTCTCAAGGTCCTTGATAAAATCCAAAGACGGATATGCAATGTAATTGGCCCTGATCTGGCAACTCGTCTCCAGTCGCTCTCTCACAGACGTGCCGTCGCCTCTCTCTGTCTTTTTTACAAATACTTTCATAGTAACTACTCCGATGAGCTGCATTCGCTGGTTCCCAGACTTCGCGAATTCAAGCGTCCTACGAGGCTGGCATTCCGTTCTCACCCTTTCACTGTTGAAACTGTTAAATGTAGCCGTCTCTTCTACTCCAATAGATTCATACCTCGCACCTCTCGCCTGTGGAACTCCCTTCCCTATTCCAGTTTCCCTGAGAGCTATAATCTCCAACTATTCAAAAGTAATGTCAATCGACATCTCCAGTTGCCTTGATCTATCCTTTATCCTTCTCCTCATCCTTTCTTCTATCACTCCTATCTGCTCTCGCTCCAAATCTTCTGCAACCCCTTGCGTGTTAATAGCTTCCCGCCTTGCTCGGGGTGAAATACTTTAAAAAAAATCGTTATCTTCTGTCTTCTTAAATTCCTGTTCTTTTATTGTCCTCTCTCCTAAATATTAATATTTCTCTTTCTCTCATATACTCTGACACCCAGCAAGCTCCACCAGCGTCTTAGTGGCTTCATTGCCTTGCTTGGGGTGGAATGATTAAAAAAACAAAAAGCAATAAAGGAGAGAATGCTGTGGAGAACTAGGATCGCCCACGCCCTGAAAGGATACATCGCATATAAGAAGAAAAAAAAATGCAACATCGCATTCTAAGGATTATTTATCATTTGGGGGTTTTCTTTACGTGTTTTTAAAATTTCCACCCATAAAAATTTAAAAACGCTAAAAATTCGTATAGACAGCAGATATTCAATTTTAAAAGATTTCAATTTTTGCTTGCTTGTGAATAGCATATTTTAAACAACTTACGCCATTAAAAAAAAATTTCTACCGCCATGTTTCAGCATAATAATATGAAATTCTGCTTAGAAGACAAGAAAAAAAGAAACAAGTAAGTGTTGTGTGGATAGTCTAAATAAATGATCCGAGTTAGGGCTTCGGGGTCAGCCGAGCGCACTGGACTGCTAGATAAACTAGAATTATTTGAGGAACACGTTAGAATTATCCAGAACTTGTACTGACAGCAAACCTGCTCTATTCGGATTTTTTAAAAATTACCATGCTTAATACACGCTTAGGCGATCATGTATCTTTCGATATATGACTGAGGAAGATTTTTTTCCCGCAGTAGGTTGCCATTACCTTTTGTGGTAGACCAGCTGCCATCCAAGGCTATAGAGCCCGGTCTGTTTTGCTATTTACCCATAGCTGTGAGGAGAAGAGGATTTATACCTTTCAAAAGGGTATTAGCACATAAGTGAATGTAATGGATTCGACTGGAATTCGAACTCGGCTCTCCGATTTCTCGATCCGAGCCGCTATCAATTACTCCACTGTGCCTCCCCCTACCCGAGACCTACCCTTATTATTATGCTTTTTATTCTTATTACTACCCTCCAGAGATTTTGAATTCAGAGTTGTCCTCCTAAATCAGTTGCCATCCAAGGTTATAGAACCCAGTCTGTCCTGCTATTTACCCATAG